CAGCCTGGCTGAGGAATTCTGGGAGTTGAAGTCCACAAGTCTTACAGTGGCCAAGGTTGGAGACCCCTGCTCTAACTAACCTGCCAATTCCCGCTGCTCGGGGCTCACTTTCCCGGCCGCCAGGATCATGGGGACGCTGCCGAAGTAACCGTTGGTGATGCCCATCAGGAGCGAGAAGATGCAGGGCCAGGCCGGGTGGCTAAAGGTGGGCTTCCCATTGGGGTAGATGCAGAGGATAAACAGAGGGATGAAGACCACCCGCAGGCAGGAGCAGAGAAGGAGGGGGATTCCCCTCCAGTCGTAAGGCAACGCCGCCAAAATCTGGAGAGAGAAAAAATGCGGAGGGAGAAAAAAAGAGGACAACCAAATTCTTAACGAATCTGTGGAATCCACACGAGAAACTTTCCAAAAAAGATTTCCTGGATCTGGTTTTAGGCAGCGGGGCCTTTCTCCCACACCAAGGCCAAAAGGCCAACCTGTTGGGGAGTTTGCAGGTAGACTGCCATGATGTGGGGAGGCTTGTTTAACCGGGTGGACCCGAGATTGTGTACCCTTGTGTCAAACCCGGGTTAAGAATTCAGCTGGGATTTATTAGTGGAAACTTTCCTTCTGAACTTGCCCACTTAATCGATTTTCAAGCCACTTTCCACACACCCCCTAGTTTTGAATCCTTTCCCCCAAGAGAACAGCTCGGATTTCTGCTTGGAATGCAAGTTGAAACTCGAGAGGAGGGGTGAGAGACAGAAAAAACGAGGGTCAGAGACACCAAGGGAGAGGAAGACACATCAAAGAGATTCTTGTCATCCTCCTCCTCCCCTTTGATCTGACCACCTGCTTGCTCCATCTCTGTGTCACCGTTCCAGAAAACCTCCACCCCAACCAATAAATCCGAGACAGACGTCGCTCAAATGTTCTCTTTTATTTGGATAGTAACCTGGCACAACTGGGGGGAATCCCGAATCTGAAAGTTCAGGGCTTCCTTTGCAATAAGTAAAAACTACAAATCCAACTCCCTACACCAGCGGTGGCTAACCTTTTTGGGCTCCTGTGCCAAAAATTGTGTGTGCGCTTCCACGCTCGCACTTGTGTGCCAGCACCCAGAAGGCAATGCACGCCCCCCACGTCCCCTATGCATGCGTGCCTAATCCCCACCCCCCACCCCACCCCCGCCACCCCCTTACCTGCACTGCACCTCACAGCTCATTTTCGGTCAATTTGAGGCCTTTTCAGGCCTCCTAAAGGCTTGAGGAAGCCTTCTGCAGGCTTCTGCAGGCTTTGCAGGCCGAAAACTAGCCCTGTTTCGTCACTTCTGGTATTTTCGGAAAAACAGGAAATGACAAAACGGGCCTAGTTTTCGGCCTGCAAAGCCTGTAGAAGCCTTCCTCAAGCCTTTTGGGAGGCCGAGAAAGGCCTCAAACCGGCCGAAAATCAGCTGTGAGGCGTGCACATGCCCAGTGAGGTAAATTTGTCTGCAGCTTGCGTGTTGGCACAAATGGCTCTGGGTGCCATTTGTGGCACGCCATAGGTTCACCATCATGGCCCTACACCCATCATTGCATCACATGCCTCAATCACCATCCGTTCCAACTGAAGTCTTCCCCTCACTTATGCGCACAATAACATGACCTTGAACTAGAAAAAGAATGTTATTTTGTCTAAGTACATATACCCCAAGAACTTCCACCCACTTTCCCAGACTCAAAATGTGGCAGCATGGGAGCATCTGTTTTCAATATGGCTTCCAAAGCTGACACTCTGCTCATCCTGTGACCCCATCAGAAAGACCCTCTACCAAAGGGTACATATCCCAGATCTCAGCTGTCTCCAATCCCAGTGGGTGGATGGCACCTCTGACCCTGTGACCTCCCCCCCCCCCCAAGACATGGGGGCCCTTCTTCTGCCCAAGAGATGATCAGGCCATCGAGCCACTCTGCAAGACCCTGGCCAAGCGGGAGGGTTTACCTTGCCCACAAAGTCAGAGAGGTTGAAGACGGCCATGATGAGAATGGGCAGCCATTCCCCCAAAGTGCAGTTCCGGATCTCCGATTCCAGCCCAGGAAAGAGGCACAGCGTGATGAAGTAAGTCATGGTGATGGACAGCATGTAGGCCCAGATCATACGGGAGACGATGTAGCGGTGGAGCATCATGTCTGTCAGAATCCAGAGAAATGCGGGTTAGGCCACGAAGGGCTTTTCATCCTGGCTTGTTGCCTTCGTTGGCAACTGTGGAGGTCAGGGGGGTCTCCAACCTTGCAAATTTTAAGACTTGTGGACTTCAATTCCTAGAATTTCTCAGCCAAAGGTCTTAAAAGTTGCCAACGTTGGAGACCCCTGGTGTAGGTGACCTAGAATAGGTGGTGGAAAGAAGGGAGTTTTGATGTAATTTCAGAGGGACGGTTGGTATGTATAATTGCCGAAAGAAAGATTGCAAATCCTTCCTTCCTTCTTTCCTTCCTTCCTTCCTTCCTTTCTCTTTCTCTTTCTTTCCTTCCTTCTTTCTTTTTCTTTCTTTCTCTTTTCTTCTCTTTTCCCTTCCTTTCTCTCTTTCTCTTTCTTGTTTCTTCTCTTTTCCATCTTCCTTTCTCTATTTTCTTTTCCTTCCTTCCCCTTCCTTCCTTCCTTCCTTCCTTCCTTCCTTCCTTCCTTCCTTCCTTCCTTTTTTCTCTCTCTCTCTTTCCTTCTTCTCTCCCTCCCTCCCTTTCTCTCCTCCCACTTTTGCTCCTTTGATCTCCCTAAAAAGGCAATTGTAAAAAAAAAAAAAGAGAACCAAATGTACAGAAACAAGCTTTCAAGAACTTCAGCCTTTCCCCTTGAGGCTCTGATATAGTTACCTCTGAAGCTCGGCCAACTCCTTTTGATTTCAGGTTGAGGGACATCAAATCTAACGTAAGTGCCGCTACCAGCCAGCTCACCCGCATCCCCAAAGGTGTCGGGAGGAGATGCATTTTGTCTGGGAGGCCGATTCTCCTTGGAGCGAAAGGACAGAGAAATAGCAACCATTAACAGCCAAAAACTGTTCTAACAAGGCTTCCTAAGACAGTAACAATCACAGGTTGTTCCCAAAAACTTTGTTTTTATTTCAACGGCTGTGAATTATATGCATTCCCAGCCCGTAATGAGTCCCACACAGTGTATGAATAGTCCAACAGAAGTCTGCCACAGTCTTTCGGGATGAGGCTGATAAGCACCCACCTTTATCTCCCTTGAAATGCTGCCAACGACTAAATTGCCAATTAGCTGTACAAGGCCAAACGGAGCACAAAGTCAGCATGGAGCTTCAGACTCTAAACCAATCAGAACGAACAAAGATGCTTCCTGCAAAAGCTCATGTCCCTTTGCTCATCCTTCATGTCTTATGTGAGGGCCAATCAACTCCAAGCCTTACTCCCGAGTAGCCCCTTTTGTTTTAATTGTTCCTGCCTTCTGGCAGCTCTGCGCATACGCACATTGGGAACAGGCTCCCCCTGTTCCTCTGCCTCCCTGCTGTCAGATTCTGGAGGCTCCAGAGTCAGCACATAACTCCCAGATGGCCCTGGCCCCATCTCTGTGTCGGATGCAGATCCCACATCCGAGCCCTCCACGGACTCCAGGACTGACCCATGTTCGTCCCCACTGTCCAACTCTGCCACCAGCTCCTCAGGCTGCCAGTGGACCACAACAAAGAACCTCCAGCACAGCTCAATGGATGAGGAGGAGGTTACAATGATGATGATGATGATTTTGTAATAGTTGGAAGTTGGAAGATATAATAATAGTTGGAAGATCTCTTACAATCACTTTACCCAATGTACCAATTCTACATAAATCTCTCCTGGTATTCATTCATTCATTCATTCATTCATTCATTCATTCATTCATCCATCCAATCCTTCTTCATTCATATCTCTGGGAGCTCAAATGGTATATGGTGGGCTGAGCAGAAAGAAGGACCACCAGCAGCTAAAAGTAGACTTAAACCCGCCTCTTCTTAATTGTACTCAACATTTTAACCAGAACAACCAAACTGGTAGCTCTTTGGATGATTTGTTCCTCGGACAGCCATCACCTGTGCAAAAGGGGAGGCTGCAATCCCCCAAAGAACTATAAACCCCTCTGACCAGATCTGAAGTGTCTCACTCTTCCCACTTCGAAGGTGGATTTTGTCAGTGTGAACTCATTTGAATTAACTTCACTCGCCAGAAGAGGTCTCCGTTTCTCTCCTTCAACCAAATCCTTAGATTTACACTCTTTACGCAAGCTTACTTTTCAATATTTATGCAACTGCATGTTGGTTTATGTTTTATTGTTAACAGTGATGCTCAGGCTGGTGAGGTTTTCCAGCAGTGAGGAAGGAAGGAAGGAAGGAAGAAAGGAAGGAAGGAAGGAAGGAAGGAAGGAAGGAAGGAAGGAAGGAAGGAAGGAAGGAAGGAAAATAGAAAAGAAAACAAGGAAAATAAGGGAAGAATGGAGGGAAGGAGGGAAGAAGGAAGGAAGGGAGAGGGAGGGAGGAAGGAAAGAGAAGGAAGGAAAAGAGAAAAGAAAACAAGGAAAATAAGGGAGGAAGGGAAGGAAGGGAAGGAAGGAGGGAAGAAGGAAGGAAGGGAGAGGGAGGGAGGAAGGAAAGAAAAGGAAGGAAAAGAGAAAAGAAAGGAATATTACATTACTTTTGCTGCCATGTTTGATCAATGTGATCTTGGAGGGGCATAGAAGCTATTTCCATCCATACTATTTCAAATCCATCCTCCCAATGTGTCAAGTAAGGAACCCATTCTCCAAACTATAACCCTAATATTTCCAGAAGATAACCTTTCCAGGAGGTTAGTGAAAACGGTCTCAAAAATACAAAACCCAAGAAGCAAAGCATTTCTGGCCACCACTTACAAATCGGATGTCTTCTGCCGTGACGTCATGGTGGACTCTGTATCCGGTGCTGTTGTCCATTGACCCTTTAAACTCGGAGGTCCCCTTCTGGGATCGGGAGGTGTAATATCTGACGAAGTAGGTTCGTTTCACCAAGAGGTGGAGGAGGAAGCAAGTGAGCTCCAGTCCAATGGAGATGCAGAAGAAGATCATGGTGTTCTCCTTCTCATCGGACAGAAGAAGCTTGGTGAAGATGCGACTTAAGGAGATGATGACCCCAGCAGTGCCTGGAAGGAAGAGATGGAGTCGAGTTTGGGGGTTAGTGCTAAGACCACCCTACGGACAATGGCATTAGTAGAGTTTGCGAAGGCTTGGCTTCCTTCGCAAGAGGTCAAGAGAGCTTCCTGCTTCCCCATATATCTCAGCTGCTCCATCTCTTCTGTCCAACCCATTAAATATTGTAAAGATGTATGAAGGAAAGGACAGAATAGTTCCCAAGTTGTCTTTTGATTATTAGTGCTAGTGAACCACGTTAAGCAGGGTTTAAGCTCTGCATGTGTCCAGAGAGGCAAAAAGGATCATCAGGCAAGGTTCATCAGGGGCTCCTATGTTCCTTGAGGCACATCCTTGAAGTCTCTAGTACTCTTGGGTTCTTCTCTCTCTGTCTCTCTCTAGCACAAACCACAAGGACAAGGCCACTAATTTTAGGATGGTCCACATCCACTTTCCAGCTGCTTTTAACTCTTTTATTTTTCAGTGCCTTCAGTTGGAATTGACCAACCAGGTCAGTCCTACTGTTGGGCAGACACTAGCAATCACCTATGGGATGACTGTCTATGGAGATTCTCAGTCATGAGAAGTCAGGTCATGGCTGTCCCAAAGGTGCTGTTTCAAGAGGCAACTGGACTGTCTGGTTTTTCCTCTGAAGATGTCTCACTTCTCATCCAAGGAGCTTTTTCAGAACTTCTTCAAGGTCTATGGAGGTCATGGTTGTCCCAAAGGTGCTTTTTCAAGAGGCAACTGGACTTTCTGGTTTTTCTTTGAAGATGTTTTGCTTCTCATCCAAGAAGCTTCCTCAGAACTTCTTCTTCAAGGTCTACTCAACATCCAGGTCCTGGTTGTCCCAAAGGTGTTTTTTTTTTTTCAAGAGGCAACTGGACTTTCTTTGTTTTTCTTTGAAGACACTTCTCATCCAAGAAGCTTCTTCACCTCTGAATCTCTGAAGAAGCTTCTTGGATGAGAAGCAAAACATCTTCAGAGAAAAACCAGAAAGTCCAGTTGCCTCTTGAAAAAAGCAGCTTTGGGACAATGGGATGAATGTTCCTATTTTTAAAGGCAGCCCCAGAAATGAGAATGAATTATTGAACAGGCAGAGCAAGATCTCTTGCTACATATCCTTCAGACTTCAGTGAACAGTATTAAGGTAATACTCACTTTCTCCCGTCATCACTCCTTGAGTGTACCGCTTTGGCAGCATCCCGGTGTAACCATAGAAACTGGATTGCTGCACTTAAAAGGGGAGAGAGAGTTGAACAAGCAAAAGAGAAGGAGAGTTATGACATCTATGTACTAGATTTCAATTTATGAGATGTCATCTTTCATAAGGTATTCTTCTCCACCACCTCCCTGACTCCTTTTTGGTCAAGAATGACAACATCATTCATGAGTTTCAACCAAGGACATCCTTGTTCCTAGACTGGCTGGGAAAGTTTCTACTCCCATTCCCGCGCATACCTGTGCAACCAAAGGCCACCACGCCCACTGCCATAAGATTGACCGCATAAGCTTGGTGCTGGGAGAAGAGATCGAGCCAGACGTCACAGATGCTCACAAAGAGAAGAGGACCCAAAGCAAAGAGATATCCTGAAATGAATGAAAGAAGCATGCCACAAAAGAAAGACAAGGACACTACAAATTCCAGATGTTTTCCTTCTGACATAAATTTTCCAGCATGGAGATCATTGAGAGGAAGTAATATTAAGGTAACATCTGTATGACTTCCTTCTGGAACATTTGACTGAAACTTTGGAGGAAGACATGGGGAAGAGAAGACATATATAGAAGATTCTACAACTTCCTTGGTGAAGAACAGAAACTAGGAAGTGAGATGGAGAAGACAGAGGGATTCTGAACATACCCACGGTGATCCTGGTGTGAAGACTCAACATTTCGACCAGGACATTGTTGAGAATGACCGCAACCAAGGCTACTAAAATGTAGGTCAGGCTCATGTCAAACACAATAGAGGTCCCTGCAGAAAGATACAACAGCTTGGTTCATACAATTATCTTAAACCAGGGCCTTGCTTCACAAGGATGTGTTAAATTGATTTGAGTCCACACAAGACGCTAAACCAGGGGCTCTTCAAACTTGACAGCTTGAAGACTTGTGGACTTCAATTCCCAGAATTCCTCCTCCAGTCATGTTAGCTCAGGAATTCTGGGAGATGACATCCACAAGTCTTAAACTTGCCAAGTTTGAAGGCTCTTGTGCTAAACCAAGGAAACCAAGAAAATCACAATCCAGCTTGGTGGGAGGTGTAAACAGATGAAAAAAAGGAGGATCAGGGTAGGCATATAAATTTAATAAAAAAATAAGAAGGAAAAGTATGCAGTGAAGATCTTTGATGTTCCTTGGGCAGGTTCAACAAAAACTGGAAACTAATGAAGAAGAAGAAGAAAAAAAGCAAGATGCTTTATCAATAATTCAATAATAAATTGATCTTGTCATATGTTAATATATTAATACTATCTTGGGTTTAAGAAAGAGGCATTCCAACCTCAGTGTTCAATTGAACAAGTGGGACTTTGCAAACAAAAACGCATCTCTAGAGAGTGGGTGTCCAACATTGAAGACTTGTGGACTTCAACGTCCAGAATTCCATGCTGGCTGGGTAATTCTGGGAGTTGAAGTCTACCGGTTGCAAAGATGGACACCCTGCTTTAGAGTCTTTCAATCCCTAAATCTGTGGTTCTCCTGATATTTTGGACCACAAACCCTTTGTCACTAACCTTGCTAGCCAAAGCTTATGAGAAAGTTGGGACCCCAAAATACACAACCTTCAACTCATGGCGTGTGTTATGTGTCAACTCATAAAATATTTCTATGGTCTTTTTAGAGTTGCCAACAGAAAGGGAGTGGGGAGCAGTGCAGCAGCTTGCAAAACCGAAACCGCATTCCACAAATGTTTTCAAAGATAGTAACTAGGTGACTGAAGTTTCTGCCGTGCAAAATTCTAACTGGAGAGCATGATTGATGACTCTTGGCTATGGATGTGTCCCATTGGAGAATATGAATTACGATACATCCAGGCAATGCCAGACCTTTTAACTCCCAATGAATCCTTTTTGAAGTTTTGAAACTTTGGCTCGAGACTCATGATTTAAATGGGGTTAAGTGCCGGAATCCTGACATTATGAATGCATATAGAGAATCAGTTACGATGCCCACTTTTAATAGCTTTCATTCCATAAAAGAGTTCCACAAAAAGACTTTCAAATGTTTCGGAGAACTTTGGAGTATTGAAAAAAGACACTTACCTGGGTATTTGTGATGAAGGTAATCAACATCTGTGATAAAGCTGTTGTAAGGCAAAAGAAAACCAACACCTGCTAGAAGCATAGCAAAGTAGATTCCATGGTAACGGTCTTGAGGCTCAGGGTTTTCACAGACTACGCCCAGAAAAAAAAACAGAAAGGTAACAAGTTAAACGAAGCGGTTGCTAAGTGAAACTAAGTGTCAGCTGCCAGGTTGTGCTTACTTGTGCTTCGCTACCACGTGGTGAAAGTCTGCCGTGAACTCCGGGGAGGACGGGATGAGGAGAGGGATGCTTGGGGGAAAGCGAAAGTAACTGCAGCATCTCCCTAAGATGATGCCTCAAGGTCAACCGGCTGGGAGAAGAAAGCAACTGCCTACCAACCATTCTGAAAGTATCTTGCTTGAACCCGATTGGCCATTGGAGGGGGAGGAGTCTGTGATGTTCAGAGAGGCAAAAGTTGAACTTAGGGATTTTTGGCACGCGATTCTCAGTTCTGGCCATGCGTTACTGCAATACACTTGATACTTTTCTCAATAAATGGAGCCAAGGATCATTTCTACTTAGAGGTGTAAGTGCTAGCAGGTCCATGGGTGGGATTCAAATTTTTTAACAACCT